TCATTCATGAAGGGAGATCTTTACGAGAGTAAGGAGAAATTGATCCATGCTATTCGTACGTATTCCATTGCAAAAAATGTAAAGTTCAGGCCAACCAAAAATAATACTACAAGCTATAATGTGGTTTGTTTCTATCGCAAAGATGATGATGTCGAAGATAATAGTGGACACCACGATGGCAATGCGAGGTGTCCGTGGAAGCTTAATTCACGCTCGGGTGCAAGAGTAGGTGGACAATTCAAAATCATGGCATACAATGGACTCCACACTTGTAGCAATCCTCGATTAGAGATGAATAACAAGATTACGAATTTTGTGAGGAAATGTGAAAATTAGAGGGGAAATTATCAATAAATGTGAAAATTAGAGGGGAGATTATCAATAATTTTGTAAAATTTGTGAAGAATTAGTGTGGAAATTATCAATAATTTTTGTGGAATTAGTGGGGAAATTATCAATAATTTTGTGAAATTAGAGGGGAAATTATCAATAATTTTGTGGATTATTTACGAATTTTGTGAAGAAAAATCAAATAATTTTGTGCATTTAGAGGTGAAATTATGAATTAATGTGGAAATTAGAGTTACTACCTAAATGTAAAAATTAGTAACAATCAATATTTATTTTGCTTTTCGTGTAATATTGATCTTGAATTTTTCACTCTTCAGAGTTAACGATGAACGATCGAATCGTAATTCTCTGTTCTTATGATGGGAAGATTAATTACCTCGAAAATAATATGCCTGTTTATGAAGGAGGCGCGACGAGACCGTTGTTCATAACAAAATCGTGTAGTTCGATGAGTTGGTTAATGAATTACACAAACTTACATTAACTAACTCACGTGAGTATCACCTCAGTGTGGTTTGCAATTATCCTGTTGTGGGGAACAGAACAAGTGGCATTCAAATATCAAGTGACTATGATATGGGTCTCATTCATATCTTACACGACGAGAAGCGTTCGGTTGAATTGTTCATTGAAAAACATCAGAGGGATTTGGACAAATCGTTGAACTCCCAAGGAATGTATTCCCGCATGTTGGAGGATCCTGAAGTTGATTCCATAGGCTTTTTATCTCCTCAACAAGATGAATGTTGGACACAATCACAATACATGAGCGGTCCTTCGTTCGTGGGCACTTCGAATGCTTTCGATACTAACACGGGAATTCAAGAAGATAATGCAAGTGTCGAATCCGAGAATGATGATGAAGAGGAGGGATTACAAATTAATAACATGACATTGATAGATCGTGATGACGGGGAAAACCAACACATCGATGGATGTTATGTTAATAATGAGTATGTCGTCTTAGAGGATCCGCCGCCCGATGAACTTCAAGGAGATGAATGGATTGATAACTCCGCGATGGAAAGTGTTCCTATTGGCACTAATAGCGGTGTTGATACACAGGCTGAAGACTTCTTATTCATGAAGGGAGATCTTTGTATTAGGCGTTGATTTGTATTATGTAGCGTTTTGCACCCATGCATTTCACCCATGCATTTGTATTATGTAGCGTTTTGCACTATGTTTTGGTAATGTATGTCATTCGTTTTGTATTCTGTATGATACTTTGTTCATTTCACCCATGCACTTGTATTATGTAGCGTCTTGCACTCTGTATATATGCTCATATTTTAATCACATGTCTATTCATTATGGATCCGGGACCAGAAAATCCCGACGTTTTGTACCTTCAGGCGAGTCATTGTTCAGACTATATTGGTTCGGGAGAGGTAATACGAATAAATTAGATATATATTTCTTTGATTAATGTAAATTTTTTATGAATATACTTAAAACGGATTCTCGTTTTATATGCAGCCCGTACCAGACATCACGATGATCGAGCATTCTCAGAGTCATTCGGCTTGGGTCATTGAGGATGAGAGGGTACTATTACTGATCGCTCAGGCCGGTTTTCGACCGTGTTCGACGATTCGTTATATTAGGCTTGATTGGCCGCTCATCACTGCACTTATTGAGAGGAGGAGGCCAGAGACCAACACCTTTCACATGCATATAGGGGAGTGCACCATCACCTTACAGGACGTGGCCGTCATACTTGGACTCCGGATCGATGGACCGGCAGTTACGGGCACCGATGATCATAGTTGGCCGGAGGTATGTGCTAGGCTTCTTGGTCAGGTTCCCGACTTGAGGAGTGGTGCGATGAAGCTATCGTGGCTTCGTCAGACATTTCAGAGCGACATACCAGAGGATGCCTCTATTGAGACGCTTCAGTTTCATGCTCGTGCATACATATTGCACATGATAGGGTGCGTACTATTTCCTGATGCGAGCAAGACTCTCGTACATGCACGATGGCTACCACTGCTGGAGGATTTCGGTGTATGCGGCGCACTATCGTGGGGCAGTGCGGTGTTGGCATATTTGTATCGAGAATTGAGTAGAGTATCTCTGATGCAGAATAAAGAATTCAAGGGATGCTGTACGTTGATACAGATTTGGTCATGGGAGCGCATTCATATTGGACGACCTACTTTACTTATGCACCGTGACTTGGAGGGGCAGTATCCGTTGGCATACAGGTATAATTGTACACACACATATTTCATTCGTAACCTGAATATTTGTACTTATATATTCGCTATTCTGCATATAGGTATAACGTGTGATACACTTAGTACAGATCAGCGACGCGTCACCGTCAGTTTTACCGAAATGAGCTTGATGGCCTCCAACACGAACAAGTAAATATAAAACTCAAGAAGTATGAATAGTATGAATATTATAGTTTTTCTGTATGATACTGATAAATTTTTTATTTTATTTCAGTTCAAGTGGAGACCCTATACACCGTCGGAGCTCGATATGCATTCTCTTGCACCTATCTGCCAAGATAGTCCTGACTTGTGGAGAGCCAGAGTTCCATTGATCTGTTGGGAGATCGTAGAGATGCATGTCCCGGACCGTGTGCTACGGCAGTTTACGCTCTCTCAGCATATTCCAGATCCTGTCGAGCAGATCAATCGTCGGCGGCGTCCTACATCGCACCGGACTGACTGGGCCGTAGTCCGTGCGACCTACATAGACAAGTGGGTTCACAGGTGGGATTGCATACAGGATACGAGGCCCACAACTGTTGACTATACCGCATATATGCGTTGGTATTGGGGTATCACACGTAGATGGATCACGCGTGACTCACATCCCTTAGCTGGACACATACCACGCCCACCGACAGATAGTTACATTCCTAGTGGGATGAACGAGAGAGATTACGTAAGTTTCTAAGCTAAATTATAACATTTTTTATTGAGTTGATACTTAATAAATTGTTTACCACGCATGTCCGTGTTTTAGATAGCATTGAGGCTGATATTGATGCCACCGTTCCTGAGATTCAGGATTCGGTGGCGTTAGGACTCCTCAGCAGGATTAAGAAGACCATAGCGCAGGTGTTTCATAAGACTCACGTCGACGAGTTCGCAGGCCGTGAGGACAGGTCTCGCTCATTTGGACAGGCGTACGCTCGACGTCGACCTGATGGAGCCGGCACTTTGCATGCCGATGGAGCCGACACTTCGCATGCCGATGGAGCCGGCACTTCGCATGCCGATGGAGCCGGCACTTCGCATCTTCATACACAGCCGGATACACAGATAGTTGAGGCTCATCAGCAGGAGCCCAGGGGGCGGGGAAGAGAGAGGGGGAGGGGGAAGAGAGGGAGAGGAAGGAGGGGAGCTATATTGGGTTGTATTTGAACTTATTTTGTTAAAATTTGTAACTTTCCTGAATTTTCAAATACTAAACTTTTGAAGATAAATTATTGTTCATATACATAATCGTGTGTGTTTAATTCATGGTTGAATCATGTATATATTGTTGTTTGCAAATAAATTGGCATATATATGAGTTATAATTCATGGTTGAATCATGTATATATTGTTGTTTGCAAATAAATTAACATATATATGAGTTAACAGGTACGTATACAAAACATGCACAGCAGGCTGTGCATGTTTTAGAGGACCTACAACTTCACGGGAGTTGAACTCCCGTGAAGTTGTAGTCCCAACTTCCCAGAGATCTGTTCTCTGGCGATATTGACTGTAACTCCATGGGAGTTCAACTCCCGTGGAGTTTTAAGAAGAAATTAAACTTCACGGGAGTTCAACTCCCGTGAAGTTTAATTTCTCAATAAACATCACGGGAGTTGAACTCCCGTGATGTTTCGGAAAACTTTTTACAAAAACCGACCTGTTTTCAGCGCTGGGCTGAAAACAGGTCGGTTTTTGTAATTATTTTCAAAAGCGGTCGGTTTTTGCAAATAAAAACCAAAAAAGGTTGGTTTTGAAAATTTGTCCATTTTTTGCACATAACGCCCACGGTGAAGAACAGGCTAAAAATCCTCATTTCACTCTAGAATACCCTTACATTAATTTTAAAAGGCAATTTTTCTGTGAAGGTATACAATTCTATCAATAATGGATTTGGATTCTCTCCACTACAGAAAAGTAGTGGAGAGACCACTTTTCAATCCTAAATGTTAGTTATCCATTGAGTAGTCATAATACATAATAAATCTAAAACTCACTGTACTATTGTGTATTGCACTCATTTTTAGTTTACACTCGGGGCCTGTTTGTTTCGCAAAAAATTGTAGAAAGTGGGGGAAAGAAAATGAATTTTAATGTTTTTCTCTACTTTTTAATGTTTGGTTCGTCAAAATTCGGAAAGAAAGTGAGGGAGAAAATGAGTTGTCACCATATTATTGGATGAGATGAGTAATTTTTGATGTTTTCCTCCACTTTCTTTATTTTTTGTTCTTTCTTGTGTTTGGTTCATTCTTAAAACTAAGAAAATAAATGAGAGAAAATAAGCTATCATTATATTATTGGATGATGTGACCCATACTTAGGAAAATCAATTTCCTTATTTTTTTGAATGAAAGTGATGGAAGGAAATTTTAATGAGATGTGATGAGTTGTCACCATATTATTGGATGATGTGAGTAATTTTTAAAGATGATAGAAAATGAAGGAAAGTTGGATGAGGTGAGTTAGATGAGTTGATTGATATGACTCATTTCTTGTGTTTAATTTATTTTTAAAAGTAAGAAATGCGATGTGATGGGATGAGTTGTCACAATATTATTGGGGGAATGTGGAGAAAGTGAAGGAAAATGTGTTAAAGAAAGTGGGGGAAAGTGAAAAAGTGAAGGAAAGTGGGTTTTGGATTATGGGGGAAACGAAACAAACATGCCCTCAAAATAAATGTCATAACCTCATGTATTGCACTCATTTCTAATATTCTCTCAAAGAAAGTATCATAGCCATTCACTAGAATATCAATGGCTCTGATCAAGTAGTGATCTCTCCACAAGCTTTTCGTCTTTTTAACTAAAGTTAAGGTGAAGAAAAAATTGAGGGAATAAAACAATTTGGGGGACCAGCTTACAATTATCACGATATAGGTGCAAATTGAAAGTATGTACAATTTGGGCATTATATATCGAAAAAACCCAAAATTAAAATATGGGTACTTCTTATAAACCCTGAATAAGTTTAGGTGTTGGAACTAAATCCCCACTGTCTTTAAAACTCTCACTACACCTCCAATAACTTTTGGCAAAAAACCCTCAAAATTAAGATCATTATTTCATATGAAATCAGATGATGAGAATGCCCACAATAAATTTTCGAAGAAAATCCAATAAATTTCATGTTTCGTCACTTCACTCCCAATAATTTGTGGCATAAAACTCTCAATAACGAATGTTTTACAGCTTTCAGGTTTTTTCTAAGGATTGATTGTAATTTCTGGATTGTAATTTCAGAGTTTTTTTTATAATTTTTGGATTTTTTGGTTTTTTAGTAATTTTTGGGGGTTTTAGTATTTTTTAAATTTAATGGGTCTATTTGTAATTATCATATTTTAGGAGTCTGTTTACAATTTTAGATTTTTTTAGGATGCTATTTGTTATTTGATATTTTATGGGTTATTTTTCTATTTACATATTTTTTAGACATTGTTTTGATTTTTTTATAATTTTTAGGGATTGCTTGTAACTTTTAGATTCTAAAGGAGGATTTTTTTAATAGTTTTTTTAGATTTTTTAAAGGGTTGTTTATAATTTTAGATTTGTAGGGGTCAATTATAATTTTAGAATTTTCAGTGTATTTTTTGCAATTTTTGTTCTTCTAGCACTTTTTATAATTTTAGATTATTATGGAGGCTGTATATATTTATTTTAGCTTTTCAGATATTTGTTTGTAATATCTTGATTTGTTGAGGGTTCTCTTTAATTTTTAGGATATTAAAGGGCTTTGCTTATAACTTTCAATTTTTTCTATGCATTGTTTCTACTTTTAAATTTCTAGGGAACTATTTGCAAATTTTCATACTTTTAGGATTGCTTGCAATTTTATAGGTTAATTTTCAAATAAGTGATTTGTGGGGGTATATACTGACTTTGAGAGTTAGTTTTCATCAATATGAAATTATGCAGTAATACCATCATGGAGTTTAAGTGCGAATTATAAAAATATTTTGGTGTTTTTTTTTAAAATTCTCAAACTTAGTAGGGTTCCAACGAGAGTAGCAAACATTTTAGGGGTTTAATGCTAAACGCCCAACGTTATTGGAGGTTTAGTGAAATTTACCTTTTTAAAAAGTTAAGGAGGGCTACATAACAATTTTTTCAAATTTCTTGCTTCAAATTTTCTACTATCACGCTGTCCTGTTTGATGGTGATGGAGAATGGCATAAAACGAGCAATGATGATGTACTGTAAGAACATGAAAAATACGACTCATTGCATTGCACACAGATAAAAAGCGACAATCCCCTTGAGTATAGTACTACTGCTGTTTGGAGTACTACTGCTGTTTCTCCAAGTTAAAGATGGAGGTGGCCCCTGGATTGCTGTCACTATGGGTGCTAAATCGTATCCGTATCCAAGGAAATATCCGTAACCGTATCCGTTAGGATACGAATATGGTTGTTCAAATCTATAACCAATAGGATATGGTAACGGATATGGTTTTGTAGTGAAATATCCGTATCCGTATCCGAAAATATCCGAATACATATTGGTCATACTCTTACGATAGTTTCGATTCTTAGATTATGGATTTGTGGTTAATTTTGATGATCAAGATGTCTAATCTTAGCTTTTCAATCATAATGAACATATTAACGAACTCTTTTTGTATCATATGACTATATTTTTCTGAATACTATCTAGTTTTCTCATATCCTTTTTGTATCCGCATGCATATCCGTTTATATATCCGCATCTATATCCGTAACCGTATCCGATTTTGGCGGATATGGATATGTATTTTTCTTACCGACGTATATCCGTATCCGTATCCGTATCCAAGATGGGTAAGCGGATATGGATATGGTAAGTGCCATATCCGAGCCGTATCCGCTCCGTTAACATCCCTAGCTGTCACTTAAACAAGAAATGCAATTTTCTAGACAAATCCTCTTTAGGAATAGAGAACTTGGCATTAGTAATGAGATGCCTCTGCTCTTGGCTACTCTCCTCGTAAAATAGAGAAATACTACCCCTACAGAGATGCAACGCCAATGGGTCTAGAATTTCATCGTGACCAAAATGATTGTGCTGATTGATAGGCATATTTGGCAAGGGAACTACACAGAG